TCCTTTTACTCTCAAATTGCAAATTATTTGCTTGTGAAATTTTTTCCAAAAACTTATTTCCTTTCCTTTCAAACAAACAGGATTAGAAGCCAAACCCCTAAAAATCAAAATTGAAGCAAAAACTGACCTAACTTACCTATTTCTATGCTAAAGAAAATCAAGATTTGATTTTTATTTGTTGTGTTATTTTGCAAAATGATTCCTGGGTATTAAAGAAGGGGAAAATTAGCTTAGAATTCAAAGGGACAAAGGATCAGAAGAGAGCACCTGGTGGCAACGGGTCTAGCGGGTTGCTGTTGTTGATGCGTCCTTTTCTATTTCTTATGTTTCTTCTTTGTGTAGGCTTTTGAGGGGTGGGCGTGGTCTCCTCTTGAATTAAGGTGCTGGTCTCAGATGCTCTACGTGCAACAAGGAGAGAAGAGCTAGAGAGTTGGGTTCAGATCAGAAATAAATTTTTGAGAGGGTACAAAAGGTGAATATTGAAGTATTTATATGGAATGTAATTTGGTACTTTAAATTTAGAAAGTGAGTATTTGTGGTTAAGTTTTATAAAGTGATTATTTCTGATTAAGGTTTATCTTTAGTGACTATGTAAGTCAATTTCCCTTGAAAATTTTAGTTGATTGACCAAAATGATAATGTAGCGATTGTAGCGATGGTTGGGGAACTATTTAGGTCATTAACCCTATTATTATATTAGTATCTCTAGTTTCACAGGTCCCAAATTTGGGCGTATCGATACACCAGGCGCACTCCAACTCAAGTTCTCAACCCTAATCGCTAAAATCCCTCATCTCAGTTGAGATTATTTCTGAAACAGAAACGCTTCAGCCGTCAGCCACGAACAATCCGCCCATCTCAACCGTCAACTCCTCCATTGTTCGACGCCGTCTTCCTCCCATATACATATTGCTCCGCTCTCCTCTCTCTCGACAGTGACAACGGTTGATGCACAACCATCTTGGACCCCATCTCATCCCATATTTAAGATCCACTGAACCCCCACCCTCTAGCAACGATCAGTTTCCTTGATTTTGTTTCATATTTCTTTTTTATTCTCTTCCGTTTCTTACTTCCTGGGTTTTATGTTCTATAGGGTTTTAGGTGATTCTTTTTTAGGTTTTAGACATAAAAAAAATTTCACTTTTGGAAAAAGCCAAAGCTTTTTCAAAAAAGACAAAAAAACCACTCAACTTTCAAATCAAAACATGCAAATGTATTGGATTCCTTAGGAAATCTAAAAATAAATAAGGGCATTTTTGTCCATTTTTGTTTCTTTTAAAATTTTTCTCTCCCGCTTTTTCCAAAATGTCCCTTCTTTTTTTGGCATTCCAAGTTTACTTCATTATTAGTATGCAATTTTAGATTTAAATTTCATTTTTTGGTGGGTGAGTTTAAAGTTCTAGAAATTGTTTCTTTATTGTGATAAATTTATCATTCATGAATTTTGAACTTTATGCTACTGATTAAAAGTATATAGCAATGTTCTTCTCATAAATTTTGAAATTTCCGTTGATATGAATTTTTTGTGTTGAATATGAATAGGGCCTGTGCAAGTTCATAAATTTTGAAATTTCTATTGACATGATTTTTTTGTATTCAATATGAATAGAACCTCTGCAAGTTCATAATGGCTGCCACTGACGATGGTTTGAAGAAGCTCGAGTACCTTTCCTTGGTTTCCAAGGTCTGTTCAGAGCTTGAAACCCATATAGGGGTTGGGGACAAAGTTCTGGCGGAGTTCATCACTGAGTTGGGACGAAACTGCGAGACGGTGGACAAGTTCGACACCAAATTAAAGAAAAATGGTGCCGAGATGCCCGATTACTTTGTCCGTACACTCCTCACTATCATTCACGCTATTCTTCCACCGAAGCCAAAGCCGGAGAAGGACTCGAAGGAAGAGAGCGCTTCTGATGGTAGGAAAACCAAGTTTAAGGCTTTGGCCGTCGCAGATAATAAAGATAGAATCAAGAACATCGAGAAGGAAATTGAGATGGAGACCAAGGAAAAGCGAAACAGAAGAGAAGAACAAGATGAAGAGCGAGAAGAAGATAGGCGTAGAGGTAGTGATAGATATAGGGAAGGAGATAGAGATAGAGATCGAGATAGACACAGAGGAGGTAGAGATAGAGATGGGAGGGAAAGGCGAAGGGAAAGGTATGATAGAGATGAGAGGCGTAGAGATGCACATTATAATGATGATGGTGATTACAGGGGAAGGCATACAGATCGATACAATAAGCATAAGAGAGATGGGTATGAAGACGATGGAGATGTTAAAGAAGATGGTGATGATAGGAGAGGTAATAGGGATCGGCAGAATGGCCAGAACCATTCGGATGAGCCCGAATTGTATCAGGTTTATAAGGGCAGGGTTTCAAGAGTGATGGACACCGGTTGCTTTGTTCAGTTGAATGATTTAAGAGGGAAGGAGGGTCTGGTTCATGTTTCACAGATGGCAACTCGGCGAATTAGCAATGCTAAGGATGTGGTAAAGAGGGATCAGGAAGTTTATGTGAAGGTGATTTCAATTTCAGGTCAGAAGTTGAGCCTTTCGATGAGGGATGTTGATCAACATACAGGGAAGGATTTGCTTCCCTTGAAGAAGAGCTCAGAGGATGATGCTCATAGGACGAACCCATCTTTTTCAAGGGATGGACCTGTGACTAGGACTGGTCTTTCTGGGATTAGGATTGTGGAAGAAGATGATGTTGGCCCATCGCGCCGGCCATTGAAGAGAATGAGCTCGCCAGAGAAGTGGGAAGCCAAACAGTTGATTGCCTCAGGTGTTTTGGGTGTTACAGAGTATCCTACGTATGATGAGGAAACTGATGGGATGCTTTATCAAGAAGAGGGAGCTGAGGAAGAGCTTGAGATTGAGCTCAATGAGGATGAGCCAGCCTTTTTAAATGGACAGAGCAGGTATTCTGTTGATATGTCACCTGTGAAAATCTTTAAGAATCCAGAAGGGTCACTAGGTCGTGCAGCTGCTCTTCAGTCTGCACTCATTAAGGAGCGTAGAGAAGTGCGTGAGCAGCAACAAAGAACCATGTTGGATTCTATCCCAAAGGATCTCAATCGTCCCTGGGAAGATCCAATGCCAGAGACTGGTGAGAGGCATCTTGCACAAGAACTTAGAGGTGTTGGTTTGTCGGCATATGACATGCCTGAGTGGAAGAAGGATGCTTTTGGGAAAACCATCAGTTTTGGGCAGAGGTCAAAACTCTCAATCCAGGAACAGAGGCAGAGCTTGCCTATGTACAAGCTGAAGAAAGAATTGATTGCAGTGGTGCATGAGATCCAAGTGCTTGTCATCATTGGTGAGACTGGTTCGGGTAAGACAACACAGGTAACGCAGTATCTTGCAGAAGCGGGTTACACGACAATGGGTAAGATTGGTTGTACACAGCCACGTAGGGTGGCTGCCATGTCTGTGGCCAAGAGTTGCTGAAGAGTTTGGTTGTCGTTTAGGAGAGGAAGTAGGCTATGCAATTCGTTTTGAGGATTGCACTGGTCCAGATACTGTCATCAAGTACATGACTGATGGTATGCTTCTTAGGGAGATTTTGATTGACGAGAACCTTTCTCAGTATTCTGTGGTCATGCTTGATGAAGCTCATGAGAGGACAATCTACACGGATGTTCTTTTTGGACTACTGAAGAAGCTTGTGAAGCGGAGACCAGACCTTCGTTTGATTGTCACATCTGCTACTTTGGATGCGGAGAAGTTTTCCGGTTATTTCTTCAACTGTAACATCTTCACCATCCCTGGGAGAACTTTTCCTGTAGAGATACTCTACACTAAACAGCCGGAAAGTGACTACCTTGATGCATCTCTAATAACTGTTCTACAAATACACTTGACAGAACCTGAAGGTGACATCCTTCTTTTCTTGACTGGACAAGAAGAGATTGATTTTGCATGCCAGTCTCTTTATGAGAGGATGAAAGGTCTTGGTAAAAATGTCCCTGAGTTGATTATCCTACCAGTGTATAGTGCCCTTCCTAGTGAAATGCAGTCAAGGATATTTGATCCTGCCCCACCAGGTAA